ACGCTGGCGTTAGCCTGCCCATGTATGTAGCTTAGGAGGACCGCCGGCGATTCCTCCAGCAGGCTGGCAAGGCCGCGGAGAATTTCGGCGTGAAGCTCGTCAGGCCCCACGCCAGAAACCTCGTGGCGCCCTTCCTCGTCAAGGGCAAGCAAGAGGCCGCTCAGGGCTTTATTCAGCACATGGAAGCCTGCATTTGCGGCAACAGGCCCCTGCGCATGCCTTTGCAAATACCTGTGGACCTGCAGCCACTCCTGAAGACCAAGCAGGCCCCCGGGATTTGGCTGAAGATGCCGTTCAGGGAGGACGATCCTTCTGAATCCTGTGCCTTAATCGGCAAGGAAAAGGATCGTGCGCTGATGCTCAAAGAGCTCGCGGACATCGAAGGACAGGTCCGCAGCTCTGAAAGCGCTTCCCCTGACATCGCGCCAGCGCACTACGGGAAGGGCGGCGCCCGCATCAGTTACATCAGGGAAAAGTACGGCGTCCGGGTTAACGTTCCCAAGGACAGGGAATCGCCCATCATCGTATCTGGCCTGTCCGCCAATGTGCGCGGGGCCATCAAGGAGTTGGAGGAGCTCGTCCAGCAGGACGTGCTCCAACAGCGCGTGGTCCTCCCGGTGGAGATCCTTCCCGAAGACATCGGCATCGCCATAGGAAAAGGCGGATGCCACGCCTCCAAGGTCCAGGAGGAGTTCGGGGTTAAGCTCCGCACCCACTCCCGCGAGCACCCTGAATGGCCCCTGGTGGTCGAGGGGCCTTTGGCGCAGCCGAAAAAGCCGTGGCCTCCATGCAACAGGTAGCAGAGAGGCGCCGCCGTAATGAAGAATTCGCCGAGAGGAGCTGAAGGGGACGATTCCGATCTGCGTCGAGCCTGGGCGGATCGGCAAGGCCATCGGCAAGGGCGGATTCCGAATCCGCCATGTCGCCTATAGGCACGGGGTGACGATCCAGCTCCCTGAGCGGAACAAGCCCGGCGCCCAGATCCTGGTGACGGGCCTCATGGAAAATGCCCGGACCGCCGTCGCCGAGCTCGAGGTCATGGCGAATCTCGAGCTCCGCCCCGAGCACGTCCTCGTGCCGCTCCACATCAGGCGCGAGGAGCACATCCTGGTACATGACCCCAAAGGCAGCATGGCCGCATGGATTGAGCGCAACTATGGCGTTCAATTCTTGTGTCCGAGGGCTGAAACCATGCCCTTGCTACTGGTAGGGCTCACTGAGGACGTGAGCAGGGCGGAGGCCGCCATAATGAAGTGGCTGTCCGGCCGACGCGCCCACTGAGCAGCTTCTCTTCCCTCCTTCCTTACCCAATTCCATCGCCTCTCCTGACGCTGAAAGTCCTCGGTGCCAGGACTTTCATTCATCTTAGATGATCTAGAAGAATAGGACGATTATTCGTGTCTAACTCTGTGCGCATAATCAGTTCTGTTGTTTGTCACTCGTACAAACAACAGAATTGATTATATAGTGATAATGAAAAAAATCATCAATGATTATCATAATCATAATCATAATAATGATAATAATAATGCTTATGACATAATCACAGGGCTGAGCGTGCGGCGGCGCGGAGCCGGGCGGCAGGTCCCTGGGGGCTGCGGTGGCGACGCCTCCTGGGTGATCATGAACATCAATGATAATGATAATGATGACTCAAGCTGACCCCAACCAAACCGTGCTTCGCAATTCATGAACGCGACTGGAGGTCGTGGTTCGTACGAGGCACCCAAACGAAATAAAAGGAAAACAAGGTAATCAATACCTATACCTTTACACCCCATTACGCTCGGTTTTGCGGCCAAAGCCATTTATTAATGTTTGGTAGCCCAAGAGGCGCTATTTGAGACGATAAATTATTCACACCCACAAATATTACTCACAGTATGTATGTGTGTGTGTGAGTGTGTAAGAGAGAGCGAGAGAGCGAACGAGAGAGAGAGAGAGAGATAGCGAGAGAGGGGGGGGGGGGAGAGTGAGTGAGAGTGAGAGGGGGGGGGTGCAGACACTAGCCTCGATAAGATGGGACTGAAACATAGCCGAACACTCACTCCTTGCTTTGCGTAGCGAATCTAAATCACCCCCTGCCCCCCCCCCTTTCCTAACTATGTCCAGGTTGTTTGAACGTGGGCCACCTTTCCGGGCAAGAAGGGCGAGATCTCTCCAAGCCCAGGTCTGACAAGGCGACATCGCTTTTGTTGTTGGTTGTACATGGTTTAGCTTTGCACATAAATGTTTGATACCATTGACTATTCAAAAGTTGCTCCTTTAATTCTATTTTAAAAGTAATCAGGTTGGAAATGTTCTAATATTTTGTGGTAGGTTAATCCAGATATTGGGTCCTGGGATTTGTCCTGCATTTGTCTTGAACCTGTTTCCGTGTATGACCTCTTGATGTATAGTGTTGATATGCTTGATTTGAATGCTTGTTTTGTTACCAATTCTTTGTTTATCTATATTGCCAAGAAAGAGAGAGAGAGTGTGTGAGTGAGATGGAGCGAGAGAATGAGAGTGAGAGAGAGAGAGGGAGGGAGGAATAGGGGGGGATGGAGATAGAGCGCTCGAAATATATACCTTCTGCATGTGATTCCCACAGCGCCGCTGTAGAACAGTTTCTCCACACCTTTTGCGAATGGGAGCGTCATACCCGCTAGCCAATCAGAAATCTGTGATGTCACTCTCCCAAAGTCCTGACCTCCCGTGTTTAGGAAAAAGATGACGCCCTTGATTATTTTTACCAGGAATGGCTGAAAATCACTTCAGCCATTCTCCAGTCTCCCCTCGTCGCATTATGGTCTTGTATTGAGACTCTATCTCCTACTTGAATATTTCTCCTTTCATAATGCTACTTTTGCCTTACTATAAGTGTAGTAATTTAGTATCTGTGCCACATTTTCCAAAATGATAATAAAATCTTTTGAATATGTTCAGTGCTTTTCTGGGATTACTAGGTTCATCCCATGTAACTGAAGGAACAAAATTACTTGACCTACCTGGGATTAAATTATTTGGACACAAATATGAGTCAGCGCTGATGTCGGAGCCCGGTTTGATGTCAATAAGGCAACTGTTCATTAAATTAGCAATTTGAAATAATGTTGTCTGAAGTTCCCTATTGCTTTCTGTCAACTACTGATAAAACAATGACTCTTTTCACAAATCTGTTTAAAGATTGTCTGCATCCATTTTCCCAAGGTGTCTCTGCTGAATTATTAAAATGCCACTTCCCTCTACAAAGCCAAAGTCTAAAATATGGGTCTTGTTCCAATTCTTTACCATATCACTAAGTTCTTTGTTGACAGGTATTAACTGTGTTCCTCCATCTAAGTATACATATTTAGGAAAGCCATGAATGGGGACGAATTTCCGGTCATTAAAAACTCATCATCATAGTCTTCTACAACATTTAAATATACAGTCCTGCTGACTAAACGACTGAGCACATCATATACCCTTCACAGTATCCTTTATAATGAAGGGTCCGAACAGGTCGACTGCAGAATCGAAAAAAGCGGGAGCAGTAGAAATTCTTGCCTCAGATAATTCTCCCATACACTGTGTTGTGAACTGCCTACCAATTGGTGAAAGAATTAGAG